CTTTTCTGATGAAGGGTCTAGGCCCGAAACGTCAGCCTTCCTGCTCCTATGACGCTGCTTGGCCTGCTGTGTTCATCCAGCTCTACACTTTGTTATCTCAGATTTTCCAGCGTCTGCAGTTCCTACTATCTCTGGGATACATCTCATCAGGTTCTGGGGATTTATGCATGTTTATGCCCACTAAATACCTAATACCTCCTCCTTATCAAGCTTAACATGGTCTAGAACATCACCATCCCAGCTGAAATCCCCAGCTACAATGTCTTTCTCCTCTGTGAATGCAGTTGAGAAATATTAATTTAAGACTTCACCCACATCCACTGGCTCCATGCACAGGTTGCCTCTTTGGTCTCTAATAGTTCCCACTCTTTCCCTGGTAATCCTCTTACTTTTAATACATTACAAAAAACCTTAGGCTTTTTCTTGATCCTATCTGTGAAAAATATTTTATGGCCCCTCTTTGCTCCCCTCATTTCATTTTTAACCAACCCCCTACACTCTGTATACTTTTGAAGGGCCTCCCTTTATTTTTGTTAACCTATTTTTCTAATGAACCTGTTCAGCTGGAACAGGTGGGTCTTGAACCCAGGCCTCCTGGTCCGGGGGAGGGACACTACCACAGTGCCATAAGAGGGCCACCCCTCCCCTCTTTTTATTGTGCTGTACCTATCCTCTTCACCTGTTCAAGTTATTTCACCTTGGAGCAGTCTCTGTCCTCATCCTGGAAGTGTCTCCTCCTGTCGAGAAGGTAAGTACTCATGTTAGATTACTGTTCCACAGACACCTAGTGTTTTCCAAAACTGCAGATTATCCAGAAAGTGAGTGTTAGTCAAATATTGATCTAGTAGAGGTGCCATGTCCAAACCTATTCTGTGCTGATGATCACATTCAGTAAATATTCAGCATGTGTCGGGCTTAATAATTAGGAACAGAAACCCTAGCTGATTTCCTCTTTCTGTGTGTAATTCTGGGGTCACCGAGTAGTGATCAAGGAAAGGCACCCTAGCTTGTCTGATTCAAGGGTTCTGAGGCCAATTATAGTGCCTCGGTTAGAAGCAAACTGCTGGAAATTTGAAATATAAACGGAAAATGCTGGAGAAATTCAGGACTGGCAGCATCTGTAGAGAGAGAAACAGAGTTGACATTTCAAATTGCTTCTTATGCTGTACCTCAAACATTGACCTAACTGAGGTCATCTCAATGCCCAGTCCATGAACTGCACCTGATTCAGGCCGACAAGAAAGAAACTGTCCTCTTTCTAAATTGCAGAGCAGTGTGATGGCACATGCAGGCTGGTGCAGGTACATATAAACTAACTGACATTCCAAGGGGAGCATTACACCATCATAAATGTGTTTGTTTTGAGTCATTAATAGGCCATCTTTGAATTCTAAGGTACTGGAGTGTGTGTGAGGTTCTTGTGTCAATTAGTGCTTATGTTTGAGAATCTCCACCCTCAAACTGTATCCCTTCGTTTTGTGTGCTCTTTTTCTCCAGATCCTCCAACTGCAATGAGGAGCTCCTCCAGTGCAAACCAGGCTGTGGTGTCTCCACAGACAGACGCTGGCAACTACTTGGGTCAGGCAGGCAGATGCTCATACAATCCCCGGTGTCATTGGGCAGACAAATCTCGGCTTGATTTGAAGACGCTGAAGTTTACGAGTGGTGCAGTTTTGCAGGTGGAGACCATTCCACCTGGGATCCTGGACAAGGTTGTCATGTTTTACTGCTGTGTTTCATGTGGCAAAGTGTTCTGGGAGGGTTCTCACTTCAACCGAATAGTGTCCCAATTCCAGGAGGTCCTCCATGTGACTGACAAGAAGACATTTTACCACCTGTGACAGGTCTTGATGCCGCATCGGGAAGTCAATACTCATCTTAGAATAGGCAGAGGAAATGCTCGTCAGTGAGGCAGTGCCTAGTTTTGCTGCTTTATTTCTCCACACATTGCAGCTCTTCTGTTAAGCACATTGTTGTTGCCAGTCTGAAGAAGGCATGCCGAGGTTACATCCAGTCATTGCTTCAGTGATTGGCGAGTCAAACCATTTACCACCTGTTCCCATCTGACCCTACCACTCACCCTGTCCTCGTCCTGCCACTGACCCCACCTTCGCTATTGCAGGTGAGAAAGTGCCTGTTCTGAAGCTGCTGCATGTTATTCTGGTCTGCATGGTTGTTTTAATGATTGTTTTAATGGCCACGGAGACTGTTTTGAATCAAAAGCTGCAAGTTTCTAGAGTGGTTCTCTCGGTCTTCTGCCAGAGATTCTGCAAAGTGCAGGTAGCTCTTTTTTTTTTAAAAAGAGGTTTCCTGTATCACATTTTACATTAATAAACTGGACATTTGCCAAGTTTCTGTGCTGCTTGTTACTACTGAAATAAGAGAATATAATTGCCATAATATCATAAGTTGCATTGCTAAAGATTTCATTTTAAATATTTCAAGAAAAATCCTAAACAGATGTAAAGAACATTATATTTTTTATTGAATGGCTAAAGGATAGAGAAAGCCATTTAGCCCATTGTGTCCATGTTGGTTCAGCAAGGACAACTCAACCAAATTCCACCCCTTCACCATTTCCCTCCAGCCCTGCAATTCTTTCTGTTCTGAAAATGATGCAATTTGCAAAATGATGATCTTTTAAAACCCACCATTGCAGCTGGCTTCTTCACATTTGTGGACAGTGTACTCTAAATCCAAACCATACTCTTCACAAAAGAAATTGTTTCTCCTCATATCGCCCTTGCTTCTGCTGCCAATTTACTGAAATATCTCTCTCTGGTTTTTGATCATTCCATCAAGGGAGCAGTTTTTCACAATCTACTCTGTCCAAACGTGTCTTGATTTTGAACACCTTGATAAAATCTCCTGTCAACTTCCTCCCACAAGGAAAGCAGTCCCAGCTTCTCCCATCTATCCATGTTTCTGAAGTTCCTCATTCCTGGAACTCCTGCTGTGCATATTTTGACATCCTCTCAAAAGCCTTTATATCCTTCTTAAAGTGGGTGTCCACAGATGGACACAGTACTCCAGTTGAGGCCAAACCAGTTTCTGACACAAGTCTAACGTAATTTTTTTAAAAACTTGTTTCTTGGGATGTGGGTGTCTCTGGCTCAGCCAGCATTTATTGACCATCCCTAGCTGCCCTTGAGAAGGTGGTGGTGGTGAGCTTCCTTCTTCATAATTCCAAGATAAAGACCCAGTGACACTGGATGAACAGTGATATAACTCCAAATCAGGATGGCGAGTTGCTTGAAGAGAAAATTGCAGGTGTGATGGTGTTCTTGTGGATCTGTTGTATTGTCCTTCTAGATGGAAATGGTTGTGGGTTTGGGAGGTGCTGTCTAAGGATCTTTGGTGAATTTCTGCAGTGCATTTTGTAGATGGTACACACAGTTATTACTGAGCGTTGGTAGTGGAGGGAGTGAATGTTTCTGAATGTTGTGCCAATCAAGTGGGCTGCTATGTCCTGGATGGTGTCAAGCTTCTTGAGCATGTCACGCACCCATCCAGGCAAGTAAGGAGTATTCCATCACACTCCTATAGATGGTGGTCAGGCTTTGGAGATTCAAGAAATTAGTCACTCACTGCAGGATTCCTCACCTCTGACCTGCTCTTTTAGCCACAATATATGGTTCGTCCAGTTCAGTTTCCAGGCACTCACGTGAGTTGTTTGAGCTGTAATGTCCTGAAATAAATTTGGTTGTCTGAAAACTCCTGAGAGGGAAGACTTTCATTGCTGCATTTTAGGAGATCTTTTGGAGGAGGGAAGTATACAGTAAATGGTAGGACCCTTAGTAACACAAATATACATAGCGATCTAGCCGTACAGGTCCACAGTTCCCTGAAATTGGCAACACAAGTGGATAAGATGGTCAAGAAGGCATATGGCACGCTTGTCTTCATCGGTCAGGCCTACAATATAAAAATTGACAGGTCATGTTGCAGCTGTACAGAATTTTAGTTCGGACACATTTGGAATATTGTGTATAATTCTGGTTGCTGCTGTACCAGAAGGATATGGAGACTTTGGAGTTTACCAGGATGTTGCCTGCTTTGGAGGGTATTAGCTATGAGGACAGATTGGAGGGGTGACCTGTTAGAAGTTGACAATATTATTAGAGACTTGGATAGAATGGATTGTCAGAGTCTTTTTCCCAGTGTGGAAATGTCACTTACTAGAGAATATAGGTTTAACAACAATGATCTGAAATTTCTCCAAGTTCAACTGAATGGGTTTACTGACCTTCAACCAACAAGACTGCCCTGACACACAATGCCTTTCTAAGCTAAAAACCTTTTGTCTCTATCGTGTCTGTATCCCTCCATAATCCCTGCCTATTCATATATCTGTCATATATATTGTTAATTCATACATCTGCCTCTTAAACCTTGCTATTCTATCTGCTCCACCAGCTCCGCTGGCAGTGTACTCCAGGCACTTACCACCCTCTGTGTGAAAGATCTGCTTTTCTCAGCTGCTTTAAACTTGCCCCTTTTATCTTAAACCTATGTTTCTTAATAATGCATCTTTCCTTCCTGCATTAGATCTCCCAAAATGCATCAATCTGCATTTGTCTAGATTAAACTCCATCTACCATCTGCCCGGGTGGCATGGTGGCTCAGTGGTTAGCACTGCTGCCTCACAGCGCCAGGGACCCAGGTTCAATTCCACTGTCTCTGTGGAGTTTGCACGTTCTCCCTTTGTTTGCTTGGGTTTCCTCCCACAGTCCAAAGATGTGCAGGCTAGGTGGATTGGCCATGCTAAATTGCCCATAGCATTCAGGGATGTGTAGATTAGGTGGGTTATAGGGGGATGGGTCTGGGTAGGATGCTCTGAAGGTCAGCGTGGACTTATTGGGCCAAAGGGCCTGTTTCCACACTGTAGCCATTTTATGAAATCGTTCCTCGACCCAAGCCTATCTATATCCTGCTGTATCCTATGGCAATTCTCTTCACTATCCGCAGCTCACCCAAGCTTTGTGTCATCTGCAAAGTAACTAATCAGGCCACCTACATTCTTCTCCAAATCATTTATAAATATTACGAACACCACTGGGCACAGATTTCCAAGCTGAAAAACACCCTCTAATGCTAATCTCTGTCTTCTATGACTAAACCAGTTCTGTATCCATCTCACTGGCTAAATGCGGGTCCCATGTGACTTTTGTATCAATCTGCCATGCGATACCTTGCTAAAGTCCATTTAGACATCTATCACCCTGCGCTAATCAATCATATTTGTCACTTCCTCAGAAAACTGAATCAAATTTTGAGACATGTCCTTCCCTGCACAAAGCTATGCTGCCTATCACTAATAAGTCCATATTCTCCCAAATGTGAGTAAATCCTATCGCTGAGAATCTTCTCCAATAATTTCCCTAACACTGCATAATGTTGACTGGCCTGTAGGATTATCCCTGTTGCCCTTCTTAAATAAAGGAACAACATAGGATATTCTGCAGTCCTCTGGGACCTCTCCTGTGACTAAAGAGGATATAAAGATTCCATACAAGGTCGCAGCAGTTTCCTCACCTGCCCCCACCCCCCACCCCACTATTCTGGGTCCCATTAGGTCCTGGAAATTGTCTATCTTAATGCTTTTCAAAACACCCATCATCACTTCATTTCTTATGTCAACATGCCCTAGAATATCAACAAACTCCTCCCAAGACTTACCATACACCATGACCTTCTTCTTTGTGAAAACTGATGCAAAGTATTTGTTAAGGACCTCACCCACTTCCTCCAGCTCCATGCATAGATTCCCTCCTTTGTCCTTGAGTGGACCTAACCTTTCCCTATATATAAAAGACCTTGAAAATTTCCTTAAACGTGTTTGCCAAAGACATTTCATGGCCTTGCTTAGCCCTGCTAATTCCTTATAGAGTCATAGAGATGTACAGCATGGAAAAGACGCTTCAGTCCAACTCATCCATGCCAACCAGATATCCGAAATTAATTTAGTTCTATTTAACAGGATTTGGCCCCTATCCATCTTAAACCCTTCCTGTTCATGTACCAATCCAGATGTCTTTTAAATGTTGTAATTATACCAGCCCCCACCACTTCCTCTGGCAATATTTCAGTTCTTTCCTTCTGTCTTTGTATTCTTCGAGGGCTCTGTCTGTCTTCAGTTTCTTATACCTTACATATGCCTCCTTTTATTTTGAGTAAGGTCTCAGTTTCTCTTGCCATCCAACGTTCCTGAATCTTGTCATCCTCATCCTTCACCTTATCCTTTATTTTCACAGGAACATGCTGATCCTGAACTCTAATCAACTGGCCTTTAAAAGATTCCTACATGCGAGATGTGGATTTACCCTCATACAGCTTCCCCCAATCTATATTCACCAGTTCCTGCCTAATATTGTGGTAGTTAGCCTTCACCCAATTTAATACTTACATTCAGGACAACACTTGTCCTTATCCATAAGTAGCTTAAAACTTCCAGAATTATGGTCACGGTTCCTGAAATGCACCCCCACTGAAATTTGCTAATGTTTCGAGTATGGATGATTCTTATCAGAACTTCATCTAGACTCGAAACGTTAGCTTGCTGTCCCTCCATGGGTGCTGTCTGACCCGCTGTAATTGCCAGCATTTGTTGTTTTCAGTACAGATTCCAGCATCTGCAGTAATTTGCTCCCACTGAAATTTGGATGTTCTGACTGGGCTGATTCCCCAACACCAGGTCTAGTATGGCCCTTTCCCTTGTAGGACTATTAACATCTCAATGGCTGAAATTATCTCTGTGCATCTGAACATCTTTATTTATGTCAGCATATCTAAGCATCTCTGTCAGTGTCTTGTTGTGTCTGAATATCTATGTATCTGCCTTTTCCTCTTGTGTATTTGAATAATTGTGATTGTAACCAAAACCCATTTTGAATATCTCAATATTCCTCTATCAGAATAACTCAGAGTTCTGAATACCTCTAGATGGATCAGAATATCTACATATAGTCCAGGACAGAGGAGGATCACCAATAATTTGTTAATTTGTGCATGGAGCCAGAGGATTTAGGTTGTGTTCATTTAACACTTTGTGCTAGTACTCATCAGTAAGAGGGATGATGTGAATATTGAAATCAGGCAAAGGGACTGTGATATATTTAAACAAATTTTCCTAGAGAGGAGATTCTGAGTGCAGTAGCTGGCTTAAAAGTTGATAAATCTCCAGAGCTGGATGAAATGTATCCCAGGTTGTTGAATGAGGCAAAGGAGGAAATAGCAGGGGGACTGGAAAAAATTTCAATTCCTCTCTGGCAACGGGAAATGTGCTGGAGTACTGAAGGACAGCCAATGATTCAAGAAAGGAACAAGGGATAAGCCTGCAAACTACAAACC